GGATGATGGAATTCAGAAATGAAACAAAAGAGAGAGCAGGATTAAGTGGAAAAGCAAAGATAGATGAAGAGCAACACTATGTCCTTCCTATACCTTGATTCCTATGTAGCCTGTTTATTAGGTTCTGCTGCTATTCTATACTTTAACTAGTTCAATGCATTTCCAAGCTCTCTGGTCTCTACCATCTGTTTGCATAAGGGTCTGTGTGGATGCAGGTTAATACTCAAAGAAAAAGAAAAAAAAAGAAAAAACAAGCTGGAAAATTCAGTTTTGTTAGTTTAATCTTGCCAAGCTAATCCTTGAAATGTCATGCTAAACAATAAGTGAATAACTTTTATTTTAAAAATATCAAAATTAAAAGTAATGATTTTGCCCTACACATTTTTATCAAAGCTCATTGAGTTCAACGAAATTTGTGACTTCAGACAACATTTTAACAAAAAACCTATTTCAGTGAACAAACTTATCCATCCAAACAATTCCACCCAATTTCATCAATATGAATTTTAGCAAGTGCATGTTGTCTTTGGGTGCTGCTTTATTTGCTCTGCAGTTACTTCAAGTTTAATAAAAACTTAGGAAAAATAAACAAAAAGCAAGAACTCCAGCTGGCTGTTCAAATCCACAAGGCAGCAGATACTCTATGTCCTCAAATTTTCCTGTTAAAAGCCATAAGAGTACAACTACAGAAAGCCCTCCCAGATTTCCAAACCTGGCTACTTCGCTTTTCATAGCTACAGACATCATGTTCCATCTGCTACGTGAGGCTATGACACCTCCCAATTTCTTGTAAATCTTGTATGACCAGACACAGCTCAGCAACTTACTCAGCTTTCAAAATAACATGTATTACGGGTACTTGCCATATGCAGATAACAACCTGTGCACAGGTCCAAGCTACTTTCTTAGGAATAAGGAGTTAATGAGAATGTCAGTGCTAGCACATCTTGGCTGAAGACTCCAATGCTATACACAATTAATATTTATTACACATGGACATCCACGCTGCAGGTGGGTAAAATAATCATTGGAGCAAAGGAATTTATCATCACGTACCTCAGTCATTCACCATTTGAAGCTTATTACAGTAATTAAACTCCTCGAACACATTCAAATCAATATGGAAAAACAGCCATTGAATTATTATCTTAAACAGTTAAAGTACAGCATTTGGCCTCTCTGCAAGTGTGTACCTGCCTAAGATTAAGGCCAGAAGAGCTAAAATTCAGCCCCGGGTAGTAATACAGATAGCATAATCTTAAATTTTTCTGTGTCACACCCTGTCACGTCAGGCTAAAAATACAAACTTCATGTGAGAGAAAGAGTAAACTGCTGATTTTCCTGGGAGACACAATGTATTATTTACATTCTAGATTGGTGGAGATAGTGCTTTTCAGACAGCATCAACATTCATATATAGAGAAATGTGGCGGGAAGGTATGTGTGCACATTTGTGCATGTGCAGGTTTGTTTGTGGGGAAATATTTACCCAGACAGAAAGAGAAAAACAGAAAGCATATCTGTCCCAGAACTGGGGACAACCCCCAGGATTCTTTGAGTACTTGTCCATGTCCTGCCCGTGTTCCTAGCCGTTTCACATCTGAGGAATAATGTGTCAATTGTCAGCTCATCCAGGGAACTACAGGCATGTCAATCTCACCTTGATTCCTAGGAAGTTGATACAGCAATTAATCCTGGAAACCATTTCCAGGCACATTAAGGATAAGAAAATCATCATGAGTAGTCAGAATGGACTTCTATGATGAAGTGACTGGCCTGGTAAATGAGGGAAGGGCAGTGGATATTGTCTACCTGGCCTCCAGTAAGGCCTTTGACACTGCCTCCCATAAGATCTTCATGGAGGAACTGCTGATGTAGGGGAGGGATGAGCAGACAGTGAGGTGGACTGAAAACCAGCTGAACGGTTGGGCCCAGAGCCTGGTTATAGAGATGTAAAGTCCAGTTGGACAAGAGGTGGACCACAGGGGTCAATAGTGGATCCAGTCCTGTTTAACACCTTCATTAGTGAGCTGGATGATGGGGCAGACTGTGCCTTCAGCAAGTTTGTAGATGACACACCTGGAGCACTCAGGGGCATCTTACCAACGTACATAATACCTGAAGGGAGAGTCTAAAGACGACAGAGCCAGGCTTCTTTTCACTGGTGGCTAGTGACAGAACCAGAGGCCTCTAATTGAAACACAGGAACATTAGGAACTTGTGACAACAACCAAACACTGGCACAGGGTGCCCAGGGATTATGCAGAGTCTCCCTCCTCAGATATATTCAAAAACTGTCTGACACTGTCCTGGGCAACTGGATGTAGGTGTCCCCACTTAAGCAGCAGGGGATGGACTATGTGACCTCTTGAGGTCCCTTCTAACCTCACCAATTCTGTGTCTGAAAGAAGAAAAAATAAAACAAACCAAACAAAAAAAGCCCAAAACTAAACAAAACAGAAAAACCACAATTAAAAACCAAATAATTATATGACATTTCCAATCTCTGGAAACTGCATCTACCCACTCTACAAGAGCATCAACACATTTTCATTCTATATTTACATGTGCAGGTGGCACAATTTACACAAACATACACATACACATGCACAGTACTGCAGAACTGAAAAAGAAATCTCCTCAGCAACAGGATGACATGTTTTATCAAAATCTTCCAAGAGATAAATGTGCAAAAATTCCTCACTTTCGAGGATTATCTGTGTCTGTAGAGTAAATCCCTCACATCCTAGTGTCTCTAATTGCACGCACAATGCAATTCCATCAGCTCAACCCCGCAAGCTTCAGATGCATCTGGCCTAATAGCAGCTGTGCAGCCTGTCCTCAGTACTTTTCAGAGATTTCAAAAGCACTTGTATGCAAGACCATAACCTGTATTTCAGACACCTTCAACCCAGCTACTCCATGTTGATAAAACCTCCTAACAACTAGAGCATGTGATCAATATGCATGTTTCAGTAATACTGTATCTTGCTACAGTCTGTTTGGAGATGTCCAACCTACAAGGGGTTTAAGGTGTCTGGAAATTCAAGGCAATTTCATGAAGGCATTAAATCCATATATACAAAACTCCTCAGTTCTGTTCCTGTTTGGGTTGCCATTTAGTGATTTCTATATTGAATATACTCACTTCACTGGTAACTAGATTTATTCTTTTTTAATTATTAATTTTTCTGCCTTCTCAGGTCTTGCTGGATCATTGATTCCCATCAGCAGAAGATTCTTCTAACCAAATTATATCTTCATCTATACCTGAGTGACTCTGCTCAATTTAGCTCAGCAATTGCAACTTAATTAAAAATTCTGTTGAGAATGTGCTGGCCAGAAAACACTCATTATGTCAGAGCTGTATTCACTTCACAGCACTGATAGGAACATGAACTAATAAAAACTTTTTATTCACACTAAAATGAATGCCCTGGACTCCCATTAGACAGTAAGAGAAACTGACATAGGATGAGAATCATATCAGTGGGCAGATCTGGTCTGCAAGAATTACTCAATTCAGAGAATAACTTTCCAAATTAAAACCACATCAAATAAAGGGAATCTCTGTTACAGCATCAGAATATATAATTTAATCTACTTACTCCACTTATAACTGGCCAGAGACAAACTGTATGTGAAATGCACTCAGTTATTCAGAGAACTGAAATACTGGAAAAGTTTTCATTCTACCCTTTCCAAACAGGGCATTTCACTTATTTTGACCTTTAATACATTGCTTGGTTCTAGTACTTATGTGATTACTCAAAGTGCAGCTATATGCTTCTTTCTACATAGCTAGCTAAAACTACTTTCTTCAGGCTATTGTATCACCTTAAATTTTAATGAAATGGACTCACCGATTTTGTAGCTCTAAGACAATTGTGAGAGTTTTATATCTACTTCTTATCTGGTTTTCTACTAGGGACATTTTTAATGGTTCCACAAGAGAAAAGTATGAAAAGAAGAATACCATCAAAAAAACCTTAACTTTGCTATGCTGGTGCCAACTGGTCTGGAAAAATTTCAGAGGTCCATAGGTCGAAACCAGACAACTGGAATAAATGGAACAAAATGCCCAAAGTCTGACAAATTTGGCTGAAAATGCTAAATTAAAAGACCCTTGAATTTAGGATTTTGCTTTCTGCCTATGCTCAGAGTTATTATTTTTATCTTTTCATATATAACGCAATCTTATGCTGAATGCTGAAACTCTTGAAAGGGGACAGATGAATACGCATGCAAAATTAACTGGATTTAATACATTCCTAATTTTCTCTTATGTACTTCTATTTTCTTTTTAAAATCACCTTTTAGCTTGTTAAACCACAAACACTCAAGTATAAGTTTGAAATAAAATAACCAACACGATGTCATTAAAAATATTACATTTCATTCTAATGTTCTTTATTTACAATTTGAACTTCCCTAAGACATCCTATTTCCAGCTATCAATGAAATGATTTCCAAGATTAGGTAAAGTAACATGAAGCAGGATTTTAATCAAACATGCAAACTGCAATACAAGGCAAACTGATCCAGCAAACACATTAGTTTTACTAACTTCAACTATGAATCCAATTGTAATGCTTAAAATTTGCAAATCAAGCTGCTTTTTCACCAGGTTCCTTGCCAACTAGTAATGGATATTCCTCTCTTCCATGGCATTTTTCTTCTTGCTGTTGTAATGCCTGATAGTCATTATCCCTGTTATTATATAGCTTTTAGGAAACATGAGGCCTAAAGGGGAAAGTTTTATGATGCTTCACTCTTTAATCATCTTGATTTTTAATCTAGACTCCAAAGAGAAGCTCAAAGGTTTTGATTCAAAGTGTGTCAGGGTTAATGGAAAATCTCCCTTCACTCTTACAAGATTATGCCACAGGCTTCAAACTACTTTTTCTCTTCATTGTTCTCGCTATTTGAAATTTGCCTCATATTTGTCTATGCCATCATAAAGTGTCAGAAGAATAATTTTTATTCTATTAAACACTCACCTCAAACCACTGGCCGTGCGACTGCATTTTAAGGATGACACAAGGATCTGGTTTTGAGAGGGCATCCCTGTCTGATATGCCTTTGCATGCAACTCGCAATTCCACTTTAGTCAGGCATGGGCTGTTAAAAATTCCCAGGGTATTGGCTGCTGATTCATAGATGTTGCTCATTTTCTTCATTCCTTGTTCTGAAAGAGAGAAAAGGTCTATTGAGAACGGTGCACACACAGTACAGCCCTTCCCTCCCTTCCAGAGGCCAGCGCGAAGTTCTGCTAGACAATAACTGTGAATGAGATCCAGAGCAAGAGGGGGAAAAAATAAAATCAAAATAATAACTATAGAAAAAAGAAATAATCGTCTCATATGTTTATAAATAAATCAAGTTCAAAACTGTGATCTTGACTTCCAGCTCTGTTCCTGATTACAGAGCTGCGTTTCCCCAGGCCAAAGGATAGATAGACAGGATGGTAATTCCAAATTTCTCCTGATAACACTTAAGAGGGCTAAATTAAATTTGTTCAGCGCTCCCTCAATCTGCTGTTATTTATCAGTATTCCATCCAAAATGTATGTACTTCTTACAGAAACTTTTGGTGTAAATGCCATAGAAGGCTCCTTTCATATCAGTCTTAAATTCCAAAATATCCTTCACTATTTCCAAGCTTACTGCAGAAGATTACCTCCCTCCATTCCTAGGCAAGTAGTCAAGATTGATGTTCTAAGCATAAGGGCAGGATATTTGCGCTGGCAAATCTTGTTGTTATACAGAGTCTGCTCTTTTGGGTCAGGAATCACAGTTACATGAACACAGGCAGCTGGAATGGTGGGGACCTCTGGCCCTTACGTCATTATGAACACCACCACCAACCTTATAGCTCAAGCTTTTGCTCTCAACAGAAGCAACAAAAACATTTGAACGTAAAGCTTAGCAAAAATCACTATATGATTATTATTGCATCAATAAAGAAGAATATGGGAATGCTATAATTCACTAATTTGTTTGGAACTTCACAGCCTGACCCCCAAAAATTTTTCTCCAAATACAGGGATTAGTGCCTTCACCACCTTACCCTGTACGTAAGAGCTGCAAAAAATTAATCTCACACTTCTAGGGCAGATTTGTCTTGCCAGTTCATAAACAAGATAATTTTGTGGTCTGTTTCAAATCTTTTCACTATCTCTTCCACAACGTTCTGTTCTCAGATGCTAATGACTTCTGAGAACTGTTTCAACAAAAGTTAAATTTTGGAGATATGGAAATGAAAGTAAAGTTTTCCTATCACCATGAAACTAAAAATAAACCCACAAACCCACACCTATACAGTTTTCCTGTGAATTATAAAGGCAATTCAGAATAAGAGAAGTTGGCAATACAGTGTGGACCTCTAATACACACAGATAAACTTCAGGAATGTAAGTCTGATGATGAGGCAGATGATCTCCTCCCCTTGCAGATGAGAAAAAAGCTCATTAACAATTTACAATTCTTCCAATTCAAATCTACACAACAGTTTACTGTCGGACCATTTATCTCCTGTGAATACCCCAGCCTGCTGGGTTAGATATGTTTGTAAGTGAAGTGAGTGTGGATGGACTCTAACCCCGGTCTCAAGCTCAGGCTCTATGTGCATATTTCCTTATGGTAAAACAGGCTTGAAATGCGAGCCACACCAAAACCATAGTGCCTGACATCCTAAGATCAACAAATAGTCTCCTTCAGCTCTTCCCAATTACTTGGAAATATTATCACCTGAACTACTGTACCTTGGATTTAGTGTTAGGAAAGAAACATGACTAAGAAAAAAGGCAAAACTAAACAAAATATAGAAAAGATAATGATATTATGCTACATTATAAAGCCCTAAGAGCAATCTCAAGTTCTACATGATGTATTCTTATAGAGTAGTTTAGTTTCTCTTCCATTTTTAGCTAAGAGTCCTGACACTGAAGATAAATCAGCATGGCTCAAATCTCAAAGTCTTTTATAGAGTAGGGAACAACATTTTGTGCTGTGTCAATTCACGACAGTGATGGCAAGATCGTAGCTCTAGCTTGAGAGCAACAGCAAGCAGAGGGAATTGAGCTCTAGCTTAATTGGAACTACTCTGATACAATCACAAATCGAGAAGCAATGACCTGCATTTAAAGAGGGACCTGAAATCTGATACCTCAAAGAAGTGATTGGAAAAAGTGCTACCAAAAGTGATGATTCAAAACTATATTTGGAAGACTGTTTTGCTTCTTTTTGTTGCCTTTTTTTTTCCAAAAAAGAACACATTAAGGTGGTGATACTGTGACAAATACACTGAAGGCTACTATTTAGCTAAAAATTACAGAGAAGATTATATGTATTTATAAATATGTATGTATTTATATGTATCTTGCTAGCAATCATCACAATCTTTTTTTTTTTTTTCATTCTACTCCTAATATATCCCAGATATATGATGTCAGGAGCCTAAGTTTCCATTAACTAGGATTACAAAAACACTGCTAGGAACTGAGGTGGGGGGAAAGACTGTTGTCTAATTATTCATCATTTTATAATCCCATCTCCTTCAGAAAGCTGCTCAACAAGATCATCCCACACATTTACGAGACATTTTTACATGTTGCCCTTTCCAAATTGAAATCCATTTGAAAATTGGGTTAATTCTGTCTAATGCACATCATACATCATTAATAAAATGTCATCCTTTGTGCAAAAATAGGTTGGTGATTTAATTAAACTGGATGATTTCAACACTGAAGAGAAGAGGAAAAAGTAGCAGAGTGAGGGGGAGAGGTGTATTTTTCTTCCTCCTACAGTAATTATACACTGTGTTTTAGAACAGTGAGCAAGTATAAAATTATATTTCTTTTTATCACTACAACTATTACTTCAGTTTTTACAAGTTCTAAATTTATCAATGGAAAAGATCAAGCCACATCTTTAATATAATCACCAGCTTGGGCTGTTGTATTGATGTCACGTTACCAGGGAGCTAGGGGCCTGGAAAATAGATTTTGTGCCTACCAAAAATAGCTAAAAAGGGTATTATTTTATACAAACATAGAGAAGTTAGATTGCGTAAGAAGTTTTTTGTCAATTAACTACGTACATTGTTGATGGAGGAAAAAAATGCTAATTTTTCTTTGCTACAAACTTTTCCTTTTTCAGTTCATTAGAACCTTATTATTCCTTCAACGTCCACGAGGCTTCAATATTCACTGAAAAAGAGCTGTATCCGTGAGAGGAAAGCAAAAGCATATGTAGAAAAGTAAGTGAACTGGTCATACGCTACTAAAATTTTCAGTTTGTTGCTGCACATGTTCTCTTTCATTTCCTCTGGAAAAGAGGAAAACAGCGCTTCCCACACAAACTTACTAGACAGTGGTAGACTGGATGGAACGGGGAAGCAAAACCAGGCCTTCTGGTTTCACCTCCCCATGGTGAAACAGCAAGGAAGAAGGCAGTACTAACTGGAAAAAAAGTCTTGAAGTGCACTGTGCTGAGAGCAAACCATGTACAAGGTTATTTTAAAAGAGATTCATGGTTCATTGATGTGAAATTCCTGATGAGGTGGGAAATAAAGAATATATAGCCAAATTCTTCTCCATGGTGCCCAGTGACAGGACAAGAAGCAATCGGCACAAACTGAAATACAGGAAATTCTGATCAGGGAAAAGAAAACTTTTTACTGTAAGGCTGGTTGAACACCAACAAGCTTCTCACAGAACTTGTGGAGTATCCATACTTAAAAATATCCAAAACTTGTCTGGACATGGCCCTGAGCAACCTCCTTTAAGCAGAGGCTTAGAATAGGTGATCTGCAGAGGTACTTTTCAACCTCTGCTACTCTGTGATTAAGCAGAAAACAATCAAAGTATAATCTTTTAGTGTATTACACATTTGACAGGCGGATTTTCCATTCAGGGGGACTGAATGGCTTAAAATGTTCAGTCATATAGTGACTACAAAAGTAAGGATCTCCATGATGCGAAGTACAAACAGTACACGCCTCTCTCCGAGATCTAAAAGACTTGAATTCAGCTTGCACAATCAAATCCACCTTGTTACAAAATGGTGATCCACACAGGGCTTTAGAGAACCTCACAGCAAACTAATAACCAGGCTCCTTAGATTCACCATGAAATAAATCTAAGATGTTACCTGAATTCAGATTTCAAGTTTTCTCCTCTGCCTACCCTGTCATTTTGCTTTCCTACAAACACAGTGTCCAAAAAGCTTTTCTGCAAGATGCCTGGGTGAAGAATGAAGACATTGCTTCTCTACAGCACCTTGCTAAGAGTCAGGGAAACACGCACACTCAGCCTCACCTTCAGTTTAGGTAGTAAGTGAGCAGCAAATGAGAAAGATGCTGAGATTAAAAGCAGTAACCAGTGTGCTCTGCATTTAGGAAAAGGTCTTGTTATTTAGAAACCAGAACTCCAGGCCAAAGTACAAGCAAATGAATCCTGGGTTAGAAGCTTTCCCGTCACCGTATATTGAGAGCTGCATCTGAATCATTTGTTTTACTGGCACACTGGTCATGAAATGAAAATGAGCCAATAGCATCTGCCTGCTTCTGCAAAAGTAAACAGCAAGAGTCTGCTCCTGGAAAAGTAAATTATGTTCATAGTATGTGTATGCAGTGGGAAATACTAATGTAGGATTACATGAAATAAGAGCTGTGAATAAGTGCCTCCAAAAGAGGGCAGGCCTAAAAGCACTGGATGTTGTGGCACTAGCTGCTCCCTACTTATTTATACCTATGAATTATATATGGGATAGACATTTAGCGTTAAAAACACATGAGTAGCACAACTCTCTAGACAGAAAGTTTTGTACCAACAGTTTCTTCAAGGTTTAAAGTCTAATAAAAGTAAATACAAAAACCAAATCTACAGATAGCACCTTAAAATTCATAAAACTCAGACTACCAGCTTCTGCTGGAAAACAATTAGTGCGTCACTGCTTAAAAGAGATGGAAAACTACTTTTCTATGTTATTAAGAATTATGATCCTTGTAGCCCTAGGAAAATGGCTTCCTCTAGTTCTGTTCTACATTCTTGATTTAAGTTACAACTCAAAATCAAAATCTAAATAGTCATGTTCATTTTTATGTGAAATCACTAGCTTTAAGTGACAAACAGAATCTGATTAAATAACAGGACATTTTGAAAGCATACTGAAGTTTTTATAGGGT